TACTTCCTGCTTTAAAAGGGCAAAATGACTTCAGTTTGCCAAAGTAATGCACACTGGGATTGTCTTGTCATCAGCAGAGCATTGCTGGGAAATCTCATCTGTAATCTCACAAGATTTCAGGGAAAGGCACTTTCCTCCCCTGAGATGATGTGCATGGTCACATGTCCTAGTCACATGTGCCAGAATTCCAGGAGAGTTCCAGGAAGTAAAATGAGATCCAGTAACCTGCCCTTAGTAAACATGGCCACTGTCAGAGGACACGGGGGAAGAAAAGATAAATAAGGTATGCAAAGAATACAAAGCTGGCAATTATCTAGAAGTATGTGTTTGTAGATTGTCATTACTAAACATTTCTAAAGGTGTGTTTGTTGTTATTTTGAACATATGGGCAAAGGTCCACTTTAACATTTGTTTCTTGCAAAGAAAAATTATCTGTCCTGTAAAACAGAAAGTATAACAGAGCCTCAGAGTGCCACAGCATGTATAAAGATCAGGGCATGCAGTTTTGTGTGTTCCATAATCATTGGGCCTCCTCTGTCTCCATATATTATACAGCACATATACATAACATGGCATTTCAGGGAAGAGTTGGATGGTATATCGGTAGAAAAACATACAACTGTATACAAAAGAGCAGAAGAGATTTTGTGATAACCAGACATAAAGAACAGCCAACAGACCAGAGGCAGTAAAGATTTACAAGCAAGAAACTGTACAGATGTTTACCCAAGCTGGAGCAGTTTGTCTAATGGCCTGTCATATTAAACATTGTACATGCTAAACATAGTTCCAGTAATGTTTACTTGCAAATATTTCACTGCAGCATACCTCTTCTTTATTCTGAAGCAAACGATGGAATTCTTCCAACAAGAAATCTGCCTCCAAGTCTTTCTCTAAGACTGTGTCCATTCTACAAATTGACATTAAGTAGTAGGGTAATATGGAATGGCCACTGTTTTTGCTAGTTACATAAGACATGATTCGTTTCTGCAACTCTAATCTATAGCGATTAATGGCTAAGAGCAGTGATCTGTTCTAGACAGGTAGAGCAAACCCTTGTGGTGTAAGCTACACAAGTAGCATGTAGTAGTGATTCACTGCACACTCTTGCAGAATTAATATCTACTTACTGCATTTATACCACAGTAAGCTTTTTGTTTCTTTGTTCAGTTAGTAGTTTTAAGAATTAAGTAGTAGAAAAAAATCTTCATGTATCCTAGGGTCTCTTTCTTCTGTATGTACCACAACATTCTGTGCAGAACTCTTTTAAAAAAAAAAGAACATCAGGTAAGTAAAAGCTAACCTTTGCAGCGGGGCTACTTTTGCATTGCAAGGGTTAACTGCTCATTTTTCTCTAGTGGATGGAAAAAGGAAGATACACTCACCTGATCCCTGGTCCTGCCTTGGTGAGTGCCTATCTCCCCCCTCCCCTTCGGCTGTGACAGGTGAATGGACTGCATTAGACCTGATGATGTCAGCAGGACTTAGACCGCATGAGCCCAGGGGAAAATAGGCTGCAGGGACCAGTCCAGCAACCCAGCAGGATCAAGAATCAGGTGAGTATTTTTTTTTTTGGAGCCCCTAGAGACAAACAAGGAGTTAGCCCCGCTGCAAGGGTTAACTTTTTTACATTCCTGGAGTTCCTCTTTAAAATGTTTTGCATAGGAGCCTGCTTTTATCCACATCAGAACAGCTTTTATCCCCACAAGACTATAGGAATACAAAAGCAGCTTGAAGAAGGTCAAATGCAGCTCAGAAGCAGCTTAACTGCAGTTTAAATGTATCATGATTTCTTAATGATCTCAGAAGCGTCTCAAACTGATGTCCAAAGCAAGCTCACTAACACAGACCAAACCCAATTGACTCTGTCCTGACTAGTGAACTATAACATGATTTACACTTTCTTTGGCATACTTAGGCCTTGTTTAGATTGGTGGCAGGTTCCCCTTCCCTCTCAAAAGTGATGCAGTTGCTTTTCACAGGGTGGTAGAGCAGCAGCTGCCCAGCATTCAGGAGGTGATCCTGCCCCCTTCTGAATGCCATTTTTTCCTTTGCATTCCAGAGGGAATTTTTTATTGAACTACCATGCCGCAACTGCGTGCCAAGTGTGTGGCACACAGTTGTGGCGCCTGCCAAACACGACATGCTGTATCATTTTTGTCATGCCTGCAGCAATGTATATAGCACTGTCTGACCACAATGCTAACATTGCAGAAGGCAGGGAGCAGTGAAGCCCAAGATCCACCTCCTGATGTTACTGCCCCTCATCTGTCCATCTAAACAAGGCAACTGTTCTATTCACAACTCTAAAAAAACAGAAATCATTTTGTCTGCTAAGTAAACCGCTAACACCAACATACTAATTAATATAGATAAAGCATCCCTGAGCACGCTCTGCAAGTGGTTAAATATAACTGAAGGGAAATGCTAAACAATTTCTGTCAACTGTGTAAATATATACACACAAGCTGTAAATTGTTTACGATGTAAACTCTATTTAGAACACACAGTGCATATACAGTGGCTCTATTGTGTAATTCTTAAGGAAGCCAGTGTTAAATGTGCACTAAAATGCTAAAACCTTAAAACTTGTAAACTAAAAAGGATTGACTGTGTTTAGGATAACATCAGAGTGAGCAGCTTATATAAAGAATTACTTTATGAGATATGCCGGGGCCATAGGAAGGGCGAGGCGATTGAGGCACTCGCCTTGGGCACAGCTGTGAGGGGGCACAGCCAGCCTGGCTGCACCCCCTTCACTCCTGTTGCCATGGCGAGCCCAGGATGCCATGGCAACAGGGGTGCCAGGCGGCCAACACAGGGCGGCAGGGAGTAGAGGAGTGGCACAGCCTGCAGCTTCTCCTTAGATCCCCGCTGCTCTCCCTCTGCCTGTATGGGCAGAGGTAGCGGGCATCAGAGGAGAAATGGAACGCTGAAGCCGGCGGGGGGGGCAGAGGAGGGAGCTGTCAATTCAGGAGGATGGCTGATCGGTGAGGAGAGAGAGAGCCACCAGGATCTGACAGCGGGCGACTCTCACACTCCCTTTACCGACCGGCCATCCTGAAGTGACAGCGCTCCCTAACACACACACCCCCCCCCATCAGATCCCTGGGCTGGCTTCAGCGCTGCGTTTCTCCTCAGATCCCCTCTGCCCATACAGGCGGGGCAGAGCAGCAGGGATTCAAAAAATAGTTGCAGGCTGTGCCTCCCCTCTGTGCGTGTGCGAGCGGCTCAGGATGGAGAGCGGGATGTTCGGTAAATATGTGTGATATTTACCGAACCTCTGTGTGCGGAGTAAACACTGGAGTGATAAAGTGATCACTCCAGTGTATGTAAACAACTGAGGACACATATTAACATCACTTCCTATTCATTAACGAATTTCTGAATGGGTAGTAGCACTCACTATACAGGCTTCTATCTATTCATAACTGGATGATGGTAAATATTTTACTATCATCAGTTTCTGAATGAATGGGAAGCCTCTGTACTCAGTGCTTCCCATTCATTGAGTGCTGGGGCTTTCAAAAGGGAAATATCAAGGGTCTGTTTAGATCCCTGATATTTCCCCTAAGCCTCCGACAGTAAAAAAAATAAAAATAAAATAAATAATAAAACAAGTAATAGTTATCAAAATAAATAGAAAAAAGGAAAAAAAAACAAAACACACAACCTGGAGGCGGGGTGCATGACACCAAATGCCCGTTGCTTTTGTTGTCTCTGACGTATTTTGGTAAAAAGCTAAAGACTTTTGCACCTGTCATAACACCTTTTTTGGTGTTAGCTCTTTTTTGGGTCACAGGAATAAATGTACTAATGTCCTCCTGTGACCCAAAACTCAGCATAGAGGGGGCTATGGCCTGCAGAGCTGCATTGCAGCTGGGAAGGATCCTGTCAATATTGTCAGGATCCACCCTGCTACCTTAACTGACTGCTGGCTCTTCCTCTCTAGAGGCAGAACCAGTTGTGCCCGCCCCCTCCCCTGTCTGTCCCTCCAAAGAACACTGGAGGAATAGAGAGGGGAGAAGTGAATCCCTGCAGGGAGCGGTGACTGACAGTCATTTCTCTCTACAGGGAGAAGCCGTGAGCTCAGCGGTATGTGATCACTCATTTCTCAATCAAGTGTATGACAGCTGCAGTGTCACATGTCAGCTCTAACTATGGGGATTAGTGCATTCCACTCTCCCCATAATTCTTACTGAAAAATGGCCTGGCCAGGAAGGGGGTGAAACACTATGGCCTTTAAGTGGTTAAAGAAAACCTGAGCTCTTGCAGAGGAAAGCAACATGTTCACTTTAACCACTTCAGCTCTTGTACTACCTATGTACCCTTTATGGACCAGAACAATTTTTGCATTTCCACTGTGAGCCTTGTGTGTACATTTTATTCTATTATTTGTTTCAGCTTAAAACTACACTGAAATGATTCTGGTCCAAAGCAATGGAAAAGTTATCTGCAAATGAAAAAACGTTTTTCACATTTTCTTGTGACATTGAAAAATGTAACAAACTAAATTAATTAAAACGATTAAAAAAATAATATTCATAGTAAAAAAATATCAGTAGCAAATTAATCACTAAGGGGAGAAGGGGAAGAAGTTAATTGCTCCACTGCTGCTCTGTTCAGCCCCTGGGAGCAAGGAAAGGAAATGCTGTGTAGGCTCCCGACATTCTAGTCTGAACTCACACAGAACTTACAGTCGCACTCTCTCCCCCACTCCCTTGTGACAGCGCTGCACCAATCACGGTGTTGGCAATGTTCTTCAAATTCTTTGCCTGACCAGATAGAGGAAGTTAAATTGGAGCTACTTTGCTGTGAATTAGCTATGCAACAGGGCAAAGGGGGCAATTCCAGATATAATTAATTCTTAATTTGCTGCCCAATACTATATTCTGCCATTCTGAATTAATTAACCCTTAACTGTCTCAATACTTGCATGTAAAAGAGAAATACGTCTTAGAAGATACTTTCAGAAACATTTTGGGCAATGGCATACCTACCTGAAAAGTAATTCCTTAGTAGGAAGGGTCTCTTTCCATTCTAGGAGAGGATCCTGCACAGGAATTGTTTTCAGCCTTTTTAGCAAAGTGGACAGGCTAGGCAGATGTTGTCTAAATTGCAAGAGACAATCTACAAATACAGCTTCTTCTGGTAACAAATTATCTAAAAAGAAAAGTCAGTGAAATAGCATGTACATTTTAAAAAAACAACTCTCAGCTTAAAGCAGTATTAAACTTGTTTTCAATAAAGAATCCAGATCTAATACATATAAAGTGCTCAGCAAACTATTTCTTTATATTTTTGCCCAAGCACTTACAGTCATCATATTTCCAAACAGCTCTAACTCTCTTAGCTCAGCTTCCCGCAGTCCAGTATAAGATCACAAGGGACAGAGCAGTCTCCAGCAGCTATTTGCATGAGGAGGGAGGAACAGGGAGCAGGAGAGTCACTTGCCTTGCTGTTCCTGTGTGTTTGTGGAGACACACACAGCTTACTAGCACACACATGGGTGGCTCCATAGGACCCTGCAAAGAAAGAAGCCACCCTACAACAGGATTTAAGGGTCTGTGCTCCGACAACCAGCTGATTCTGCAGAAAACTAACACTTTTTAATATGAAGGAGCAGTATCCTTTGTATGTGATTTAAGCAGCATTTGAAATAGCTTAAAAAAATATCACTTTAAATATTTGTATCTAGTATATTTACCAAATTCTAAATGTTTTAGCTGCCAAAGGATTTCTAAATCTGTGCAATCTTGTGATTCACTAACCTGTGCCACACTTTATAGGCAAGAAGATCACTTTGCTGTTTCCTGGTCAAAGTATTTGTGAACACACTACCAACAATGCATATCATTGTTTTGAACTAAAATTGCATTTACAACTGTAAAAAATAACTATTCAACTTTATTTTATTCTTTATTTGGTGGTCACATGAGCGCACATCCTCCCTTCTCTTCTCTGGTCATGTACGGTGCTTTTTTTATGCACAAATGTCTTGAGTTGCATTTACAATGTGCTTTAGATGCCATTAAAAATGGTGCACCAATGAACGCATGTTACCGTGAGTTGTGGTAAAATATAGAATTTACCTTAACACACAGATCTGAAGCTAGCCTTAAAGGCATAGTCTGGCTTTAAAAAAATTAACAATTGCGCACATGGTATTATAAAAAATGCACAATTATTATTTTTTTTACATTTGAACCTGTAAAGCATTGCAACTGCAATCAGTGGATCGTGGGTGCACAGTACGGACCTTCGGTTATGGGATTGGAGGAAGTAATCAAGGGACTACAAGTACGGTGATGCCATTGAGCCCCATGAGTCCCTCTGCTGTGGTGGCAGATGAGTAGGGCTTGAAAAATTTTAGAGTGTTGCTGGGGGGTTTATTTTTTACTATATAATGAAAAAAGTACCGAAAAATTCGAAAAAAAAAACCTGTTTCCCTACATTATGTTAAAAGTCATTTATTCTTTCCACTGATTCTTACCCATATTTTGGGTAAAATATAAAAGACGGGGTCACGTCTCACGTGAAAACTGAAAACTCACTTGTTTGACTGTTGAAGGGGATCCTGTGAGACCCCGAAACGTTGTTTAGAGTGTTCTATGTGCAACTAGTACGTTAATAAACACGTACTGAACTTGCTTTTGAGTGTCGGTGTTCATCCTTCACTGATATTTTGTCAGAAGCCACCCGCTGACATCTGCTGCACCCACCGTTTATATTGGAGCAGCGGCTCTGAGTGTGATGGGTAAAATTGCACGCGCACGCAAAATCGCAAAAAACTACCACAAGGAAAATTGGCCTTAGGCGACGCTTTAAACGCTTTTGCTGCTCATCAGTTAAGGGCCCATTCACACTGCGCGATTCACAAATCGTGCGTTTGTCGCGCGATTTGCATTTTGCACGATATCGCGCGATTTGTTGCGTGATATTGCGCAAATGCTTGCATTGAGCAAGCGAGAATCGCGGCAAAATCCGCTCCAAAAAGGGTCCTGCTGTAGCGACACACGACCCGCGACAGCAGGACCCTTTGCCCCATTGCAAAGCATTGAAGAGCGATATCGCGCGGTAAATAGCCGCGATATCGCGGGAATTACCACGCGATAAATCGCTCAATGCGAACGGGGCCTTAGTGTTATCAGTGATTGTTGGCCCTAAAATGATTGCTCACACTGCGACGTTCGCGGTGATATGTAACATGTGAATCGTTTTCGCACTTAGGCGCTCCCAAAGCATGTTTGCATGTGTATGTGAGAGGCGGGGGACTTAAAGAAAAATTGTGTTTCTTAAATTTTTTTATTACTTTGTTTACACTTAACTTTATTGCTATAACATGGGGGGCTAAGAAGCCCCCTATGTAATACCCAATTTACATGACAGGTCCTCTTTATGGAGGAAGAGAAGCTGATGAAGCATAAATCTGCTTCGTCAGCATTTCCCCAGCTTCTGAAGCTGGAGAGTAACAGCGAAATGCGGACGTGATGTAATATACATCACTTCCTGCATTTGGGGACTGGAGAGGAGGTAAGAGGGAGTTCGTGTACCGATCTCCCTTTGATCTCCTGTCACAGAGGAGCCGTGCCGATCCTGGCCGCATCGGGCACAGCGGATCTCAGGACCGTCAACAGCAGTGACAGCTGCTGCTAATACAAACAATCTGGCGTCTCTCTCTGTTAAGCTACGGCTCCGGTGTCCTCTCGTCGGAGACTGTTCACTTTTCAAGGGAATTTTCAGTTTGCAAGGGAATGTTCCCTTAGCTTAGTGAATGAGGTGAAGCTCTACTGACTCCCATCATCCAATACTTTTTTTATTGTCCTTGCACGTGAATTGCAAAGTGAATTTGAAACACCTTTACTAAGCTAATGGAAATTTCCCTTGCAAAGTGAGCAGTCAATTTGGCTTTAGTAAATCAACCCATAATGTTTTGTGACATTATTGGTTGATTTACGGAGAAAGTATAAATCAACTGGCTGAGGTGCATCGGACAATAAAGTCATGCAAATTTACCTTCTGTGTCACTGGATGGGAGAGTTTTCCAGCATTCATCAGTATGTGAAGCTTCACCTGCACCACTCTCACTGACAGAGCACACGTCCTCTTGGTCTATCTGAGAACAAGGATTTGAACTGGGAACTATAGCCAAAGCCTCTTCTTTTCTGTAAAAGTGGAAACTTATTTACAAGCTATTTATTAATAGTCACTTCAGGAGTGTCCAAAACAGAAATAGAGAAAGGCACGAACAGTTGTTTTTTCTAAAAAGGCTGTAGAAAAATTCCAAACGTTTGCTACCACTCAAAAACCTCTACCTAGTTTTTAATCAGTGTTAATAAAATGGTAAAAATATATTGTATGACCCGTTACAAGGCATGAACTACTCAGAATTTAATTGCCAATTTATATCATGCTACCTTGCTTACTGTATGAAAAAAAAATAATAAAGAAATCATGAGATTTTCAGATCTTTTGGAACCCTGCTACAGTACTGGGTCCAACTGATTACACATATATGTGCAGGAGATACACAACAAAGATAAAAACAGTATTTTATTTAAACTGTTTATTATAAACAGTGGTTTTGCAGTTAGGGTTTACACTTACTTTAAGCAGAAGAGAGAATGTTTTTTTGACAGAGAGGACAACAGGTTTAAAACAGACATGAAAGAGGCCATCTACTTCTAACTGAAGCAATATATGTCTATGGACCTTGCATTAAATGTTATTATGTTAAGGGTTTTAGACTGCCGGAGCCCAAGGGAGAAGAGGCTGTGGGGACTGCTCTTGCAGTAATTAGGTAGCTGGTGGAAGCCAAAATCAGGTAAGTAATGCTGGCCACAGACCTTACAACCATTGCAAGACTTTTGTCTTGCGATGGTTGTGAGGTAATTAAAAAAACGTACGATATGCCTATCTCGGACAGGCATATCGTACTTGCGATGATCACAAGCCCGCCCCACTGAGGGGCGGGCTTCCGATGACCGCAATGCTAAACGGGCAGTGTGCGCTTGCGCACACCGGCCCGTGCGGCACTTATCTTACGAACATGCCACACATGTGCGCACACCGGCCCGTGCGGCATTTATCTTACGAACATGCCACACATGTTTCGAACATGTTCCTAAGATAAAATAAAAAATATAGTGATGAAACTACTTTCGTTACATACATATTGGCCTACAAAATGTTCCCTGTATATACATGAAATAGATTAGAGGGCTATTTATGACTATGCTAACAGCATGATAATAAATCTAAAATAATAACTACACAGAGTATTTCTGTACATACCTTTCCAGAAAGTCATCAAAGGAAGTATATGTGTAGGAAGTGTATGTTTTCCACATATCTATCAATAAGTCCTCTTCTTGTATCTGGCAGGTTGGAATAGCTAGAAAGGTAACATTAAAATAGCAGACAGAAATATAGTCAGTGTTTTTTAATGAGGACCATACATTAAAAATTACAGCCACATCCTAACAGTAAACCAGGGATGTCCAAACTGCGGCCCTCCAGCTGTGGTGGAACTACGAATCCCATGAGGCTTTGCAAGATTCTCACAGCCACAGACATGACTCCCGGAGAGAGATGCTTCATGGGATTTGTAGGTTTCACCACAGCTGGAGGGCTGGACATCCCTGCAGTAAACCTACATAGTCCTGTCCATTCTATGCTGTTGATTTTAAAGTGGCAATAAAGAATACCAAAATGCTAAGGCCTACCCTCTACCTGAGCATTTTCCTGATTGTTCAGGAAGGGGGATGGCTTATCAGTTGAGTTCATATGAGCAACATTTCCCTGTTTGCTTCTGATATAATGCATGTGTCCCCAATCTTAACCAGTTCATCACTCAGGACGCATTCACACCATGTCTGGATCATCTCCAGACCAGACCAGATTGTTTCCAGACCCAAAATGCATTCTAATGTATCCCTACACTACTTCTGGCCTCTGTTTACACTGGCGCAGTCCATTCCAGACCAGACCAGACCAGACCAGAATAATACTGCTTGTCTCCTTTTGTCTGGTCTGGAATGCACTGAAACTGCGGGCAGGTTCACACCATTTTTCGGACCACATCTGGTCAGGAAAATGATGTGAACCTGCCCTAATATCTGTATATCTCTTATGAACTAGAGCAATTGTTACATTTCCACTGCACACCTGCTTATTCGGTAACAACTTTGTCATTACATAAGATAAGAAAACGTGTTTCGAGAACAAACTAGGTTTTCTTTTGGCATTGCATTCTTTTGCATTTTTTTTCCATGTCATCAATAGAAGTAAAGACATAAAAAAATTAAAACATGCATTACATTTTTTTGACCAGAGTAAGTTTAAAAAAAGTATTTTTGCTGTAAATAAAACCTGAGGAAAGTGATGTACAGGAAATTCATTGCAGCGATTCGTAATGTGTGACACACAATTATAAGAATACGTTGTTCATGATATGTTTTCCCCTTCTACTGCAGACTGGAAGAAGTCTAAAACATATTGGAACAGTAGGCAAATACAAAACAAACAAAAAACAAAGAAAACATACATCTCTTCCACGGTCTTCTGTATGTGTCATTTACAAAAACTTTGGTATGGAAATAATCTTCTTCCTGTAGAATCTCATTGGGAAATGGAATATGCATCCAAGAGATGGCAAGTTTTTGTTTCATGACATTCTAAATGACAAAAAAAATAAAGAAGATTATATTTATATTGTATATTCTCCCTGTGATTGTGTGCATTTGTAAAAAGAAAACTTATGATTATAGAAAAAGAAGTTTGTTAGCTTCCTCTTAAATTGGCCTTTGCATATACTTGTGTCTATAACTGTGGTAAGGATGTTAGACAGTAAGCTAATTTGTGGCCATGGACTGATATGGAAGGCTCACAGTGCTGTAGAATGTAATGTAACAACATACTCTAAATCCATGGTTTTTAAGTGGCGGGTCGTGACTCAAAAGTGGGTCGCAACCACGTATTCAGTGGGTCGCTGCGTGCCTTACGCTGTGCTAGGTGAGAGGCTGCTCAGCCTCCTCCTAGCACAGCACTGTCGGTTCTCATGCTGAGCATCCATTAAAAATTTGCTGCCAAGCACTGAGTGTCAGCTTGAGGTGGGGTGGGCCGGGGTATGGCCATGAGGGAGCTCCATCCATATGTGCGTTGCTTATAGATCCTTTGCGTGCCCTGTAGAGGTGACTGGACTGGAGTGGCATCACATTCTGGCTCTCGGCACCTCTGCAGGGCACGCAAGGCAGCTGTACAAGCAATGCAAATATGGATGAAGCTCCGTCACAGCACAGCAGCCCCCAGTGAACCCCAGGGTGAGGATCCACTCCAGTTCTCCTAGGGTAAGGAGACTGGGTCCATATAAAAAAAGGAAAAAAACATTTATTTTTTTTTGAGTGCGTATGTGAGAATGTCTGAGTGTGAGAAATTGTGTCTGTGGTTGTGTGTGTGTGTCTGTCAGTGTTTTTAAGGGCCCATTCACAGTAGTACAGCGTGATAATCACGTAGCCCCGTGCCATTACTGCACTGTACCATGTAAATCACGCCTACTGCACGTTCTGGTGGGGGGAGATGCATTGCATTGCCATTTATTTGAATGGTACCCCAAACTTACCTCCCACCCACAGTTCGATCGCCTGCAACGGATCATGTGGTATCACAATGTCATGTGTTCCAGTGCGGTGCGACTTAAATGACCAAGGACGAATTTGGGTCCTGAGGTTACACAGGTTGAGAACCACTGCTCTAAATTATTTAAAAAATACCCAGGGGTAAAAGGGATAGTTGCATAAAGCTTGATTGTGTTAGCATGGGGAACGTGAGAGAACCATGCAAAGTTAGGTGTGAACCCAGCAGGAATTCCAAGAACCCCAAACATTTTGCCAAACTATATTTAGGTCTACGTCATCCAAATCTTGTTATTTTTCTGTAGACTAATTTGTAAGCTATTGTTAAAAAAGTACATGGGTAACTAGGCCCTGCCATGGGGGACAAGTGCCAATGCAAAAACATTTTTAGAAAAAAAAAAACATTAAGCGGGGAAAGGGTCTTTTAATGAGGCTTAAAAGACAATGTTAAAAATATACAAAACATTCAAATAATATGCTTGGGGGATGCCTTAAAGCTACTTGTGATATTAGGGAGCAGTACAATGTTGTCCCTAATCACCCCGAGCTTAGGGTTGCCGCCTGTCCGGGATTCACCCGGACAGTACAGGTTTTGAGTCCTGTATGTGCTGTGTCCGGGTTTCATTCCAGCTGAAACTCGGACACAAGATGTCATGATGTCAAGCGGACAGGGGCAACCACAGGATCCTGGTGTTCCAACTTGAATGCATGGAGGAGGCACGGGACATGGAGGGATGCTGGAAATTGGGGAGCAAGGAGGTTTCTGAAACACAGGGCGCAGTGTTGAAGGGCACACTCCCCTGACTGTCTCTCCTCTTTCTCTCCCCTGGCTGTCTCTCCTCGCCCTCTTCCCTGGTTGTCTCTCTTCGCTCTTTCCCCGGCTGTCTTTCCTCACCCTCTCCCCTGGCTGTCTCTTCTTGGTCTCTCTCCTGGCTGTCTCTCCTCGCTCTTTTCCCTGGCTGTCTCTCCTCGCTCTCTCCCCTGGCTGTCTCTCCTCTCTCTTGTCTTCCTTCATATTCCCCCCCCCCCAAAAAAAAAGAGTGTTCAGGCTTCACATAAAGAAAAGTTGGCAACCCTAAGCGAGCGCAACACCAAAACCGCAACAGTGGGCACTGTGTTTTTAGTCACACAAAGATCTCTCTGTGACGTGCTCAGCGATACAGAGCGCAGCAGCACTTGTCACTTACATTACTCACATAACAGACGCAGTCCTCGGTGCCAGGGAAGCGGTGAGGGAGCGTGGCTGCAGCTTCACATCCAATCAGAAAGCCAGGTGGGTGGCCACATGACCACCTGCTAGGCTCCCTGCTTCATTACTGCACCCACTGCTGGAAGGGGTAAGAAGAGATGGGGATGCCTCAGGTCTGTGTATGCAACGCATGCCTATGCCCAGGACATTTGCTCATCCCTAGTAATATTAAAAGCTAATTATATCCTGGAACTGACCCAGCAGGTGCTAAACTGTTACACGAGATGTTGCAATGGATTGGCAGAAGAAATGCCTCTTTCAAACAAGAGGATTATGGAAGTCTTGTTACTGAACTCAGTCTCATTCCTGTACAATTCCAAACATACCTCTAATGTAAGAACCAGCAAAGAGACCATTCCTTACCTCAAAAGCATAGTCCAGAGAAAGAAACTTAAACGCTGGGAACATTGCTTTGCTCATTTTTTCAAGATAAAGTTGCCTAGAAGTAACCAAGAGATGTATTAGCTAAACAGAGTCTCTTTCTACAACAACAGTTTTTTATGTGTATTGTTAATCTTAAAATGATATTGTAAAATTGGTCGTAAAATAAGATTAACAATAATACCTTTCCCTCAGTTTCAATCAAGGTCTGAATAAACAAGACCAGTAAGAAGCATCAGTGTGAGAACAGCAACAGATTCACACCCATATGCTAGCAACTCTTAGGCCTCGTTCACTCAGGCGGAAATGGGGGGAGTAAAAATGGTAGCAGTGCGACTGCACAGTGCTGCATACATTCGGGCAGCTGTAAAGCTTTGCATCTTGGCAAAAAATATACAGCATGTTGCATTTGACAGGCGCTTATCAAATGTGACAATTGGAATGAATGGGACCTCACTGCAAGCGTGTGGCTACACGGTTGCGGTGCAGTATTTTGATAGAAAATCCCATTGTGAGTGGAAAAAATGCATTCATGAGGTGGCAGTATCACCTCCTGAACGGCGGGCAACCGCTGCTCCACCACCCAAGAAAAAGTGATCCACCGTGGATGGAGACGACTGCCCATGTGAATGAGGCCTTAAGGGTTCACTTAGAAGTTATAAATGAACCGCTTATATTAAAGGAGAACTATGCGGTCAGTGTTTTTCCCCATAGTTCTCCTTAGGGTAACGGGAGGACACAAACTAGCGTCCTACCGTTACCCTAAGCTCAGTATACCGCGAGCTACAGCTCGCGGTATACTGAGACGCCGCAGCGGATCCCGACCTGGACGTCGGGATCCGCCCAGCTGCGTGAGTCACAGCTGGCTCTGCCTATCTAGAGGCAGAGCCAGCTGTACCCGCCCCCTCCCCCGTCCGTTCTGCCAGTCAGCGCTGGCGGATGGGAGTGGGGAGAGGGGAATCCAGCCCCTCCCCCTGTCACGGCAGAGAGCCGTGACAGGATCGAGAGGTGAGCGAACCCGGTATGTGTTCGCTCACCTCCCGATCTACTGAGCCGACCTGTGACAGTCTCATTGTCACAGGTCGGCTAGAACTATGAGGTGAGTGGAAATCACTCATCTCATAGTTCTCCTTTAGGCCCCGTTCACATGTAGCGACTTATCGCGCGATTTCCGCCGCGATATCGCGCCTTTTTGTCGCGCGATATCGCGAGAAGTCGCCGGCTAATGATAGTCAATGGAGCTGGCTTAGCTCCATGTCGCTCGTCGCGGTCGCTTCTACCGGACCCTTTTTTCGGCGGATTTTGCTTTTTTTCTATGGAGCCCGACGGAGAAGGTCGCGCTACCGTCGCTGGATCGTCGCCCCGAAAGTCGCGCTATCCCGGCCGCTGCAAAGGTATGTCGCTACATGTGAATGGGGCCTTAACAAGGCCTTAGAACAGGGGTGGGAAATTCCGGCCCTCCCGGTATGCTTTAACTGCAAATACCATCATGCTTTGGGGAGTCATGCTTGTAACTGTCAATCTTGCAATGCCTCATGGAACTTGTAGTTCCACATCAGCTAAAGGGCCAGAGTTGCCCCTGCCTCAGAAGCCCTGCCTTAGACTGTCAGTCTTGCAATGCCTCATGGGACTTGTAGTTTCACAACAACTACAGGGCCAGAGTTGCCCACCTCTGCCTTAGAACATTGACATCTGTGTAGACGCCAACAGGTGCCATTACTAGAATAATTTTTTTTTAAAAAAAACAAATTTTGACACTCATTCCCATAGAAGGTTCACTCTATGAACAGATCATTTACAACGTTGGAATTTTCTGTATTTGATATAAAAATTCTTAAATGAAATGTGAATAATTCCATGTACTGTTTATAGCTCACAAGTTCTGAGTCAGGGCAGTCAGCACTGATCATTCAGGAGGTCACTGACTACTGTCTATTTTGTCACTGTAGGAGGATGTCATGCTACCTGAATCAGTTCAGTTTTGTTATGAGGAGATCATCAACTGGCAGGCTCAGGGATCTTTGAAGAGTGTGAGGTAAATGAATGGTGGTTGCAAGGGAATTCTGGGAAATTTAGTTCTGTCACTACCTCATAATCAAGCTTAGTGGCAATGTTAAACTAAATATCCCAGGATGCATTGCATATGTACCATGTGATAAAGGATAACCAGTCCCTGAGGTGGGTGTGGTTGTACATGCTGAGAGGGTTCACGCCCAGGGGAATTGCAGTGTTTCTTTGGTCCTCTTGTAACGTGTTTTCATAGGTCACTGTCTTTTTCTTCTTTCAAATGCAGCATATGCATTTAAAACATGTTTCCTTTGCTCGGAAGCTTGTTTGTTCATGTCGCTTTTAATCAAATAGTGGCTTCATTAAGACGCACAGCAGACTTTACCCCAAGAGTGGGCAAACTCTAGCCCTCCTGCTTTGGTGAAACTACAAATCCCATGATGCATCTGTCTTTGGGAGTCATACCTGTGAGTGTGAGAATCTTGCAATGCCTCATGGGATTTATAGTACCAAAACAGCTGGAAGGACGGAGTTTGCCCAGCCTTGCTCTACCCACTCTCTGAAAAGCGATCCATGGTGAATTGTTTTTCAAAGGGCGGCACAGAAGCTGCTTGCCACGGTCCAGGAGGCGATAGCGCCCCTTCCTGAATGCCATAAGATAGGCAGCAACCACAAAAAATGCATAGCAGATCACATGCAGCCTCCTATTGGTCATCCACATGGCAATTGACAATTGCTGGCTTATGTTTGACGCATGTTCCAAATGCATGTCAAATGCAGTAATTGAAAGTCCATATAAACCCTTATGCTGGCCATACACATTGCAATCTAAATGTACAATTACTATGTAGCACCTAAGGCTAAGGGCCTGCCAGGGCCACATTTCCCACAAGGCCACCGAGGCCTGGCCTCGGGGCGACAGGGAGTAGAGGGGCGGCACAGCCACCAGGAGGGTAGTTTTTTTTTCTACATTTAGCCCTGCTCCGGGCAAGCTAAATGTACTGTAGAGCTGCTCGTTTTTTACAAGTGATCTCGGCGATGTCGCCAAGATCACTTATATGCAGCCTGCAGGTCCGTCCCTCCCTGGTCTGCCCCCACCTCACCTGGCTGCATGTTTTGAGGCAGGAGCGAGGTTTTCTGGGTTGGTAACAAAATAATAAAATAAATACAAATTAGAAAAAAGTAAAATATAAGAAGTAATATTTAAAATAAATAAAAAAAGTGCTTAAAAG